ATTGCAACATGGCCACCCCCCGGGAGTGATTTCTTGCTTTCTATCTCTCTGTCTCTCTCTTTCCAGCAAGCACACGCACCCTATAGCAAAAAAAGTATCTCTTTTAAAAAAAAGTCTAGGTTTGCTGGGCCAACAGGTGGCGTGGTGGTTAAGGCACTGGACTCCCACATGGCCAGCTTTGCAGTTCAGGTCTCAGACCTGGCAACTTGAAAATCACATTGGATATGTATGCTTGCATGCCTGAAATCCCAGGAGGAAAATGGAAGAAAGAGGATTATGGCATTCTCATCCCCTCTTGGGAGTAATTTCTCACTTTCTCTGTGTCTTTCTGTCAAGTGCATATGCCCTATGGCAAGGGAGGGAAAAATTTTAAATATACGTTTGGGGACCAGCAGTTAGCGTAGTGCCTATGTCACTGGACTCCCATGTAGTCGACTGCGGTTCAAGTCCCGGACCTGGTGGCTTAAACTCATGCCCGGTGCGTGCACATGCGTGCCTAAGATCCCGAGAGGATAAAGGAGGAGAAGGGATTGCGGTGTGGCCATCCCCCCTGGGGGGGATTTCTCGCTTTCTGTCTCTGTTTCTCTATCTTTCCAGTGAGCGCATGTGCACTATAGCAAAAACCTCTCCAAAAAATAAATAAATAAATAGATAAATAAAGTATATGTTTGCTCCCATGCCATGTATCTGTCTACGTTAGACTTCTGTACTTATAAAAGTTTATATCCTAGGGGACCAGCAGTTAGCGTAATGGCTATGTCGCTGGACTCCCACGTAGTTGACCATGGTTCGAGTCCTGGATCTGGTGGCTTAAAACTCAATGCCGGGGGAACCAGCAGTTAGCGTAATGGCTATGGCGCTGGACTCCCACATAGTTGACTGCGGTTTGAGTCCCAGACCCGGTGGCTTAAACTCACGCTGGGTGCGTGTGCGTGCGTGCCCAAGATCCCGAGAGGAGAATGGAGGAGAAGGGATTGTGGCGTGACCATCCCCCCTGGGGGGTGATTTCTCGCTTTCTGTCTCTCTGTCTGTCTCTGTCTTTCTGGCGAGCTCATGTGCCCTATAGCAAAAACCTCTCCAAAAAAAAAGTTTATATCCTATTATCCCATTTGATTCCTGTAGTAATTTTGCCAGGTGACCAGAGTGGCTCTTAACAGCACCTATGCAGAGACAGCAGGACTTAACTTGTCTGGAATTGTAAACTTACAGCTGCTTGGACCAAAGTGCCCACAGTTCCTGGGTTATTGCTACCGTGTTTGTCGTGTAACGACTGGCAGTGCTCTGATGCTGATCTTCTTTACTCCTCAGGTCTCTAGCATCAACTCACGCTTTGCCAAAGTACACATTCTATACGTGGGGTCCACACCACTTAAGAACTCTTTCCGAGGAACTATCCGGTAAGAAGTATCCTTATCGTGACATTTCTCTCAGTACCTGGAACGTGACTAGATAGAGAGGGCCGACCCATGGCCTAGTGGTTAAAGGAGCCGGATCACTTATGGCCAATTCTGTGATTCAGGTCCTGGCCCCACCACCTTGAAAAACAAGCCAGGTAGGTGTATGTGCATCCGCCCGAAATCTGGACAGGATGGACAAATGGGGGAGAAGGGATTGTGGCATGACCACACCCACTAGAGGGTGCTTTCAAGAGAAAGTTAAAAATAAGGCGCAAAGAATAGGTTGGTCGGTATAATTTAAACCAAACAAAGTAGAAGGCATTTTAGAAAGTACCTTTTATTCTTAGATTTTATGTAGATTAGACCCAAAGGTTGTAAGACACTAAAATTGTTCGTGGGCGAAATAGTAGTCAGTCTTCCCTCCTTCTTTTCTTTTACTTTTTTTAATTGTTTGAGGGTGCATGTGCTTGCTAGTGAGAGGGAGATGGAGGGAGATGGGAAAGCACCCCAAGTGAGGCCTAGTCATGCCACCACCCCTTCTCCATTCTCCATCCTGTCAGCATTGCATTTGCATGCACATGCACCAGTGTGATTTCAGACTTCCTGGTCTGAGAATTAAACCCCAGTCAGCCATGTGGGATCGCCTTTCTTATCCGCTTCGTTAGGGGACCAGCCCAGGAATGTTTTTTTTTGTTTTTTTCCTGCAGATTCTTTGAGAAAGGACCAAAGGTTCTTATAGGCCAGATAATGTAACTTTGAGGCCTTTTTAGCCTTGGTGTTCAATGTGGGTCTGTAGAGTTTCTGATCGAGTTCTGAGACAGCTGAGCCCCTGTCCAT